TAGTCTGGCATGCTGCAAGCAGCGACCACACAAGATCCAGCATTCAGGAGAAGGTCTTTGGGCCTGATCCAGCCCGTGGCCTGGCCTTGTACCCCTGAGCCATCCCATGGGGCCTGATGAGTTTGATACCCTTGTGTAAAAGAAGGTAGCAACTTTCTTATCACATGAATTCCTGATACTGACCTAATTACCAGCTGATCTTGCCAATATTTAACTGGAAAGGTAAACAGGCTGCTCCTGAATTTACCTGCTTTTGACCCATTGACCAAAACGGGACCTGACTTCTTATGCTGATGTTTTGTTTATACAATCAAACCTTTCTATTCTTTCACTTCAGCAACTTTTTTCACTATATGTTATTTTTCAGACAGCCTAAACAAACTGATTTTGCTCTGCTTTGAGATAAACATAGAACTTTTCAATTTTGCCACTTAATTTTTGACATTTACATTTTACTTTACGAGTTAAAGATAACTACTTAATTTCTTTAAAAGCATTTTTTTCCTAACATTTCCTTCATCTTTTGGCATGTTAAGTCAGATAGGGTCATAAACTGAAGTTTGATATCATTGCACACAATTATATTTTAAGTATTAATCAGCAACTTCCACATGAAGATTCTTTAAAATATGATTCCTTAGTGAACTCAGCTTTGCAATCTAGCTTCCTATGAAAACCATGTTATCAGTGACCCCATCCACATTTTTTCAAAAGTGTCTTTATTCCAGTCAATCAGATCCTCTCTTGTTTATCTCCATCCACTCCACTTTCCAACATCCAAGGACTGTGGATTTCAATGATTAGCCATGCCCCCTCAAATGACCACTCAGTTCAGCTATTAATTTTACTCTTTAACAGAAGCTCTGTTCATATAAATGTTATAGTATTCAAAAAAATGTTTTTTTTTTAATGGAAAACCCAAATTAAGTCCACTAGCCTGGCTTTTCAGAAAGAACAAAACAAACAGTTTTTATACAACTGTATTATAAGTCCTTCTTATTAAATTATTACCAGTGAAATAAAACAAAGATAATATCTGTGAAGTATCTTCAAAACTATTCTTACAATATCCTGTGGTTTGAGCTTGTAGTGGTAGTGCTGGTAAATTGATTATTCAGTAAGAGTTTGTGTAACTCCTACTTCACTGTATTTAAAATGCATAAAGAAAACCCAGAACTTTGTACAGGGATCTTTCAGCAAGAAGTTTCTTTTAAACCAAAATCTAAATAAGTAGAAGAAATCTGTACACAAAAATGGAATGTGACATGATATACCAATTCACTAACTAGCAATAAAGTGCCAAATCTTTAAAACATGAAGGTTTCGTTAGACTTCTTCAAAGCAAGTCTGCATACAGTTCTGAGGCAGAAGTTCAATTTCTGTTCTTTATGTCTCTTGAAAAATCCAATCTAAGGATGTCAAAAGACGGTTAATGAAATATTTAATTGCACTCTACCACACTGGTGTCAGTTTCAGAATCTGTAAATTAATGCACAAGGTCTTATAGGGCTACCTTCTTTGAAGGTCACTGATCCAATAACCAAAATCCAATTAATTTGCAGGAGCCTAACTATAATAACTATTGGCCTTTTCCTATATATACAAAAACAAAGTCAGTAATAACGTAGTTTTTATTTTAAATATATTACACACGCAGGCATGCACCCATTCAAAAATATGACATTAACAAGCTTAATTTCAACAACATGAAGAATTGTTCACATGTATTTTCATGAC